GTTGTACACATTTACCCAATTGAGCATTTTTAGAATAACTACTGCACAGAGTGACAACAGGTCATTTTTCTCTCTTTTTTTTTTGCAACCCCTTTTTTTCTCCCCACCCCACCCCAACTTATGAAAAAATTCTATGGATTGAAAAAAGCCCCAGGCTGAAGGAACTGGACAGCTTTGATTGACATGGGGTAAGGGGTTCATAGACTATGTGTATTGGCACCAAAGGCCACAGCCCAGTGTGTGGTTTTAAAGACCAGCACACAGGGCAAAAGCATTTTGCACAATGTTTGTTTTTCTGTCTTGCACTTACAAATACGGTCTATGGGAGTAGCATGGAAAACGTTTGCTGTTTTTCCCTTTTTTAAAAAAATTGCTTTTGCTTAAAATTTGATCCCCTTAACTACTGTAAACATAGCCTATTTTTGTGCTTAAAATACTGAATGGAAAACTCCATTGTGTGTTGCTGGACTGTTTTAGAAATATTTAGTCAAATGTGAGTTAATTTGGCTGTAATGGCATTTAAAACAACAAAAAAAAGCTGTAAAAATGACTTAGAGCATTATCTTTAGTTACTTGAAGAGTTTCTACTTTTTAAAAATACAGTTTATGTTAAAATAATTTTTATTAATTTAGAGAAGACAATCAATGTCTGTGAGAAAAATGGACTTTCTTTTGGATTTTCTTTTTGTGGTCATTGTGAGTGATTGCGTCTTCCTTTCCTTAGTTTTCCATTCTTCCTTTGTTCTAAAACTTAGACGGACATCTAGCTTTAACAATCATAGTATGTATCCATTTTCTTATGAATATATACATATTGAGGACATACTCTTAAGTGAAATAAATAAGTCACACAAGTGTAAATACTAAACAGTTTCTCTGGTGTGAAAAACAATAATAGTGCACAAGATCCTAATGAGATAACTGGCAATGTGAAATAGGAAGAAAAGGGCTAAAGATATAGGGAAAGTGGGAAGGGTAGGGAAAAGGGAATAAGGGAAAAGAAAAAATAGGAGAAAATGAAAAAACAAATAAACTGTTTGTAAATGGAGAGGGGAGGAGGGGGTGAAGGGAGGGCAGGGACAAGGGGAAAAAATGAGAACCAAGACCTGTCATGTAAAGGTACAAGATCCCAATGATGAATGTAATTGTACTGCATACCCAAAATGTACCAATACACTCAATGAGGAAAAAAAATACAAGTATACAGATGATGCTTTGGGGTATCAAACTATTTTCTAGACTAGCTATATCTTTTACATTTCTGCCAGCATTATATGTGTGTCCAGTTACTTTGCATTCTTTGCAGTGTCTGGATATGATATAATGATTAATCATTATAAATGTGTGGAGATGTCTCTAGAATTTTAATTTGTATTTCTCTAAAAACTAAAGATGTAAAAGTCTTTTTGTATGCTTATTTGCCATCTCTCTATTTTTTTGGCAAAGTGTAACAGATAGATAGAAACAGAGAGATAGACAGACAGAGATATATATCATAAAATCAGACACTTCCAGGAGAAAACACAGGAGGAAATCTTTTTACACTGGATTTGACAAATATGTCTTAGATCTGACTTCAAAAGTATGTTCCCCAAAATAAAAATACTGATAAATTGGAATTCATCAAAAGTAAAAGCTATTGCTTTTTAAAAAAACATTTTAAAGAAAGAAAGAAAAAAGACAAGCCACATACTGAGGAAAATTACCAAAACTGTAATGCAAATATGTATTAAAGAATTACATGTAAAATATTTTTTAAATTCTCAAACAAAACAATAACAAGAAACAAACAATTCAATTCAAAGATGGGTAGACTAAATGAGCAGACACTTCACCAAAACAGATGTATAAGCGATTTTAAAAAATGAAAAGGATTTTTAACATCACTCTTCTTTAAAAGCTCAGTGAGAAACTAAACTAGTAGGTACCTATTGCGATGGCTACAGTTAATGCTCGCTGCATCCATGAGCTAGGGGAGAGATGCAGGAGCTGAATTCTCACACGTAGCTGGAGGGATGGTAAAATGGGACAATCATTTTGGAAAACAATCGGGCTGTGTCCTAAAAAGGTAAAGGTACATCTACCATATGCTCCGGCAAATTTGTGTTTACTCTAGATGAAAGAAGGTGCATCTCCATACAAATATATACACACAAACTTCCACAGCACCTCCATTTGTAACTGCTGAAAGGTGAGTAGAAAACAGTGGAATACACTACATTAAAAAAGAATGGAAAACTGATGATTCTTGTACATGCATACATCTCGAAATAACTACATAGGAAGAAGGAAATGAGGGCAAAATTCATGTGTGACTAAATAAAAGTTACTTTGTATAAAATTTAGTACAGGCAAAATAATGCACAGTGACATAGCCGAGAAGTGGGTGCCTGGGTCAGATCAGGGGGGATAAGAAAAGAGGAGCATGAGGAAATTTGGTGGAGGACTCATGGTTGTCTTCATTACTTTAATTATGATGGTGGTCTGTAGGTCTCTACATATGCCTAAACTCATCAAAGTATATTCCTTAAATATGTACACGCGGTTATATGCCCACTATACTCCAGATGTAGCTGTTAGAAGAAATGGTGCAATTTGCATTGTTCTTTCTCTGTCACGGTCCACGAGGCAAACTCCAAATACGAAATAAAGCCTTTTCCCTCATGAACTTTGGGGGTGTTAACCATACTGATTTTTGCTATGCAGAAACAAGGAACTAGGATAAACATCCAAAATGAGTAAGAGTTTATTCTCTAAGTTAACTTTGGGCTTTTACACCCAAAGAGTATGATGATTTGCTTTATAAAATTGACTTTTGCCCATTTTAACAATGCCCTCAGTGTCCTAGAGAGAGGTCAGTGGCTTGTGAGTGTGAGAAGTGAGTAAAAATCCACTAGCAACAAATATCTGAAGTTAACATCAATAGGCAGCACCAGGTTGTTTTTGCAGATTTATAATAGTACCTGATTATTCTATGACACTCAGTATATGTGCAGTTAAATTTTTAAAAGAAGTGTCTGCTAATTAATGACAGCAGTTTACATTCTGGTCTCCCAAACCAAAGTTCAGATCTCCAAAGATAAAAGGACCTTTTGTCAGACCTATTCTGTCCATTCATCTCTGCAACAAGTATCTACCTTTCTTCAGAGTACACTGAACCAAAAGAGATGTGTTCACATTCCTTCCTGCCATGAGAGCATGAATCAAAAGAAAGAAAAAGAGGCTCAATAGCAAAACTATGTTACCTTGGGGCAAGCCAAGAGCTATCTAAAAGGGCCAGCAATATTTGACATTGTAGACATTATGTGTATATCCAGCATGTGTGTATGTGCGGGTGTGTGTGTGTGTGTGTGTGTGTGTGTGTGTGTGTGTGTGTATTAGCCCTTGCGTGTGAGCACTTGTGATATTCTGACTAGAGAAGACAGCGTCATTTACTAAAAAGCCAGGTCACTGAGAAAGTAAGATAAGGAAGAAAAAACTGCCAAGCAGAGAGAAGCCAGCTACTAGGGAAATAGAAAGCAAATTATGTCACTCAGGCAGGATACAATTTACCCATTAATTTCAGAAGCCACGGCACCTAGGGTTTACAAGTTGTGAGACTCGTGAAAATGTTTATGTTTTAATCTCTCTGCAAATAGAAGAAAATGAATGAATATATAAGAACGAATTTAGTCTAAAATATACAGTATTTGGCTTCATATTAGCAGAGTTGTGATTTTTCATCTTCTTCCTACAAAGGAAAGAAAGTGAGAAGACAGCAGGGCCTCACACCTATGAAAGTCATAAGGCTCTGCTTCATGCAAAAAGCTGCTAACAAGGCCTTATGTCTCTTGAAGCACAAAGTGTGCAGTGTCAGAGAGTTATAACTTGGACAGAAGCGTGCACCATGATGCAGTCTTTCTGGCTTAGCAAGCAGGAGCAGTTAAGGAAGGAAGAGCTGTGTGTGGGGTGCAGACCTGAAATGATGCCATGACTCCTCTCTCTGGAGCAGGAGCACAGCCGACGGGACAAGCGGGAGCCTGCTGCAAGGAGCCTGCATATCTTTCTGCAAGCCCACCTGCTGAAAATGGGGAAGTCCCCTTGATCGTAAGCTCAAGTCATGAAAAAGAAACATAGGAGGATGTCACTGTCCATTAGCTCGCCTGAGCTTCCTCATCTGCAGGAGAAAAATTAGAGAATTTGGTAACAATCTAAAGGCCATTCAGGATGAAGAGAACGACTGCAATGTGCCAGGAAAGAATAATGTAGGATGATTCTCACAAGAAAATTTTATATATTTCCACTAAGGTACACTGTTTATTCAACTTTAGAAGATTTCCACAAACATTACAAAGTAGCAATATTGACAATATTCTTATAACGTGCTGTAAGTCTTTGGACCCATTCAATACTAAAACATGGCGCTGTGACGTATTCTACCCTTTGATGTTTTCCTGTTGTGATTGCATCATGGTGAGAATAACGCGGTCCACCTTCGACATGGGTGCTGGGCCACATGGCCTCTCCGTCCAAGAGTTCTCACTGTGTGCAGAGCTGACTTGGGCTTGTTGGTGGACTGCTATTTACAAACTGAGCTCTCTTGTAGATGCTTCTGCCCATCAGCTTCTATCACTATGCAATACTGGAAGTGATTGCATTGTCTTCTGCAGAAAATTAATTGATCATTTTTTAAAAGCTGAGTATAACCAATGACATGAAACCCATTCAACTTCAGGGATGACACAAAAATCCCAAAAGTGATCATTACTCCTACTGCCATGCCTGTGAACTCTGACAGCAAGCAGAAGAGATGGGGTGTCCAAGTGTCCGCAGAACAAAGTCTTCTGATATTTTCACACCTTTGCCAAGGGTGTGGGCTTCCCTGGGAGAGGGACTACTTGCTGGCTATAACAATCAACATGCATATCTTAAGTGGGAAATGGTGAAAGCTAAAGGCTGATACTGTATACTATATATTTTTGTCTTCTGCCTTGTGCCACATGCTTTATTTTATTTCTAATAATATGCACATGTAGAAACAGATTTTTGTCTTTATTTAACTACTTTATCTTTCTTTTAAAAGATGAACCCTGTCGAGATCATTAGCATGGAGAGAAGATCATTCAAAACATCTCCCTGGAGCTTTTTATGATGTTTTTTCTTTTTGTTTTTGGAGAGGGGCTGAGAGTCAGGTCAGTCTATGCAGAGCTTTTCTCTGAGCAGCGGGCACCTTCCAGCCCAGGGTTCTCTGAAGGCTGTCAGATAGTGGCTGCCTTTGCCATCCAGCTGACTGGGTGGGCATATACATTAGAGCTGGAGCTGTGGCCTCAAAACTGATGTCCATGGGTTGTCTGGAACATGGATCAGTCTTAAATCCTTCCATCTTATACCTGGACAAGAAATTTATTTAAATTTAAAAACTATAAATTTTACATTTTTATCTGACTTAGCTGAGACAACTAAAATTTAGGAGCATTGTCTCCTTCTGCTAGTGTGCTTGACAGACGAGAATTTGTGCAATAGGCAGCAAAGGGAAATGAATTGTTAAGTTATTAATTGAGCCGATCTACTCTTTCTTATGGGCATAAATGTTTCTTAATTAAAGTAGATCATTTACAAGTTACTCTGTGCAATTTGTAATAAAAGATTTTCTACCCATACACATTCTATTTGCCAGTGGCATAATGGCATGAGACATGAGTTTTGCTAGAGTTAAATTAAAATGCAATAGTTGGCTAGGAAATGTTTCCTTAGAGCATTAGCATATTATTTCTATATCAAGCCATTTGAAAAATAATAAGCAATAAACCAAAATTATAGAGCATCATGAGCAGCAGCTGGCTACCTGTCTGCCAGAGCAATTTGTATAAATTATATAAGTTTTGATAAACAAAAAGCAAGGAATGGCTTTGCTCCAATTATTCTCCCTTTTTGGTACCTATGTCCCTATGAGGAAGAGAACTTCTGAGGGCTTTAAGGTGTCTTATCATAAAGGATAATGCTTTATTTCTATAAATATTTAAAACTCGTACTGCCTGTTCCAGTAGTAGTACCTCCAGTTTCAGTAATGTTACAGCACAATGAGTCTTTTATTTTCTTTTATGATTTCCAGCAAATCTCATTGCCAATTAGCCCTATGAGTTTACAAAGCACCCATTTACAAACTGTACATTTCAATTACTTGGCAGTTGGCAATTAATGCTAATTTTGTACATGTGCCAGTTGCAATAAAGGAACGGGAATAGTAAACAATAAGGGATGTTTAATCAGACATGAAAGTATTTTGATGAAAGGATCATGGCAGGTGCACTGAATATGAGGACACAGGAAAACTTGGCAGAAGCTTCCTGTAGGAGGAGATGAAACTCCGAGCCAAACAGGAAGCCACTATTTCTATTCTATTTCCTGTTCCCAATTTTAAACTGAGAGGGCTCAGGGGAGAAGAGTCCACAGTGGTGCTGTGGTTGAGACCTGAAATGGCCCCAGTAGGCCCATGTGTTGAAGGGTTAGTGCTTACCTACTGAGAGGTGGTACCATTTCTAGAAGGCAGAACCTAGTAGAAGGTCATTGGGAGTGTGCAGTTGAAGGGCTAAAGGCACCTTGGCCTCTTCCTGTTCCTTCCTTTGCCCTTTACCTCCTGACCACCTTGCAGTAGACAGGCATCCTCTGCTATGCACCCCCACTGTGATGTACTGTGCTTCCACAGGCCCAAGTCAATAGAGTCAAGTAACCACAGACTGAAACCTCTGAAACCATGAGCCAAAATATGCCTTTTGTCCTTATAAGCTGGTTTCACACCAGGTCTTTTTCCTCAGCAAGAGAAAGTGGGATAGTATAGATAGATTTGGGTTGCCCAGCAAATTTTGCCAGGCTCTAATATTTTAGTGATGTTACAATGTCGATATATTGGAATTGATTGCACTTCGCAAGGAGTTTGGATTAGTTCTTTACCAGTTATGCTTTTTGGCTCCTCCTTCCTCCATTAATTTAAAAGAAAGGTTAAGACAAAAGATGATTAACTTTCCCAGGAATCTCTGAAGGAGCTTCCTGCTATGGATACAGGTATGCTGAGCTTCTTTCATCCTGGAAGCTACCCAGGGCACTCTGTAGGATATTTGGAATCCCTCACAGAGGAAAGCCAGTAGTTGCAATGTAACCCATTACCAGCCAACAAAGACTCACACAAACTATGTATTTCTGCCTTCAGTAAAGTTGGATTGTATGTGGCAACTCTGAGAAAAATATGTACTGGACAATAAAGCTGTTAATTGGCTTTTGGCTTCTTCCTGTATTTACATCATTAGATTAAATATCAGCCTATAAGAAAGAAAACATTTTCTGCTGACTCTTAGATTTGGGAAAGCAACATCCCAGGAGACATTGATCAACATCTCTTGCTTTAGAGTCAGTAGTCATTTGCGTAATGCTAAGTTCCTCTGGGGAATCAGCAGCTGCTATTCACTTTACATGTTGTTCATATCCACTTTGCTTTCCTCAGGTTCCAGGGACTTGGCTCTGACAATTCTGGTCGGAAGCAGGTTGAGGTAGGGTTGAGTTGCAGGGTACTGAGCAAGCCATGACGCTTGCATTGATAGAGAGCTGTGTGTGTTGAGTGGGAAAGGCCAGGGCAATGCTACTCTGAGGTTGTATTTACGCATGCAGATACTGCAGGAAACTGTCTTTCAAATGTAGCAGATGGTCCAGGCATCATCAGGAGCAGCTGGCTACCTGCCTACCAGAACCCTTGGCCAGGTAAAAATTTACCTCAGTCTGGGGCATGGTATTTGGTGGAAAAGCTAAATCTGTCAGCCCACTTACATGGGACACCTTGTTTCTGGGACAGTTGATCAAGTCTAAGGTCATATTGGGAGGCCATCTAGGTGAGCTGTTCCATCCACAGCCTTTGTAGCAACTGACACTGGGTGGCAGGGACCAGGCTCATGACATGATTTGAAGTTGGATAGGGAGATATTTGTTTGGGTGAGTTAACCATTATTCACTTAACAAGCCCTATAGGTATACATGTAGCTTCCTTCTAGTTTTGCCTCTTCTTACACACTTGGGTGTGTGTGTGTGTGTGTGTGTGTGTGTGTGTGTGTGTGTGAACACAAATGGTGAAGCTCAGGCACACTCTTTGTTCATTCCAATCTACAGGCAGACTCTCAAACTGTCCTCTCCAATGGTTATATTATTTTATCTCTAGTATGGATTGCGTGTTTTACAGCCCACATCATCCCAAAGTGTTAGCAAACTTTTAAATCTTGACCAAGGTGATCTTTCATGATTGATTCAATTTGTACTCATTAACTATGAGTAAATTCAAGTACTTTTCCATCTGTTGATCTATCTCTATGTTTGTCAGATTTCTCTTGCCTTAAGATGGCTGCCACATAGAATTGCAGCCTCCATGTTAAAATACAACTTCTCCCAACAAAGGACAGGCTTCTTTGTCCCATTATGCCTCTTCTCCTGCCAAAAGAGTAACCTGATACTTGGTACCTCCTAGCAGCTAGTGATTTCCCAAGGCCCTCCTAGTGATGTCCCAGGCTCCTCCAATCTCTTAACACTACCTCACCCAATTCGACACCAGCTCAGGCTAACCTCACCCAGCTCCTATAAAAGAAGCTCCCTGTTCTGCCATGTTGCTTTTTCTCCCCTGTTTGGAGATAGCCCATCAGATCCTCCCCTCAGTAAAGGCCTGTTGTGGTTCTGGTCTGTTCCTGGTTTTCAGATCTTTTTACCTAACAATTTTATTATGTTTTAAATAGCTATTTTTAGACTTTATTCTTCTGTGAGTGTGTAATGTTTCTTGTTTAATAATTTTTATACATCGTGGAAATTATACTTTTGTCATTTACCTTTTGAAATGGGCCTCTCTCAAAAGCTATCTGAATCCAGTCAAATATTACAAAAAAAATGAGTTATTTGGAAGTGTCTGAGGCAATTAGTGAATGTTTTCTACAGTGTGGTTTGGCTTTCCTCGCCAAAATAAGACTGTTTTGTGATATCTCCCTCTTAGTAGGTACCAAAAAAAAAATGTCACCAACTTAGATACTCATCATTACAAATTGAGATTTCACAATACTTCTGCGATTAACCAGTATTTTTTAAAAAAATTATTAACTAACTTCTAGATCATTTTACTTTGTTAACAATGGTATTTAAATGGTGAACTAGTTTGTGAATTAGAATAAAGGAACCACACCAGACTAATAGTTTTAGCACTAAGTATTGGACACAGCATGGCTTTGGGGCTAGGAATATTAGTAAGGTCTCTCAAGACCCATGTCCTAAGAATGTTTGCAGGCATTTGTAGCAGAATGTGTTACGCATTGTCCTATGGCAGCTGGGTCTTAGAACTCTCTGCAGAGATATAGCTGCATTAGATAACCGTTCAAAATAAATCTCTTCGAGGTAATCCTAGAGGACAGCTTTCAGGCTGGAAAGCTTACACACAAGGCACAGCTCTTGTCAGGCTTCCTGCAGGAGATGAGTCCAAGTGTTTGATTGCAAAGAGCAAGGAAAACCCAAGGAAAAGATTCTAACAAAGATTTTGTGAAAATAGAATTCACATCAGCAAGAGGCCTCCAAGCATGGGTAATAGCAAAACAAGTTAGAAGGAAATTATGCTACTGGAAATAACATTATTAGAGTTGTCTTACTTTTTAGCCATTTGTTCAGCTCTTATGTACTTGCCCAAAGTAGAGTAAGAGCTCCTGGATACCAGAGACAAAATGCACTGCAGTGTGCTGTCGGACTAATGGGTGACTCATTCCTTGGCTTCTGAGCACCTCCAGGAAGAAAGTGGAGAAGGCATTGTTAGTTTGGGAAGGTGCCTACATTTTGACAGCAATTAGAGGAGTGCCCACCATGCCTGGGATGGAAACATGCCCCCGGGCAAATGCTCTAAGTGGAAATGAAATGTAATATCCATAAATACTATCTCTTAAAACATTAAGTTAGCAATTCATAAGCCTCACTTAAAATAGTATGTGTAAGTGTTGGAAAGACTCCAGTGTACTGCCAACCTACCCTTCCTTCTTGCAGGGTAATTAATGTTGATAATGTGAGCGACCCATTTCTTAGTAGGAGTGCTAACCTGAGGAGGCCAGGATTATTTTATATGCGATTTTATCACATTAATCTTCCCCTCCACATTGAGCAGTGAATAGACTCTAGAAGGTCTGCCAAGGCAGCCTCATAGCCTTGCTGAGTCTTCTTTGTATAAGCAGGTGTACTCTGACTCATCTCCATCCAATCTGCTACATCACAGACATCACCCTTTAAAGGTGTTCTGAGGACAAGTGGCGAACGGCATTTTCACACCCATGAACGAACTGGAAAGTAAAGTGGCAAAGCAAAGGTTCATTTTACATAAATGATTGACTTATTGTAGCAGTAAGTCATTACATTTGATGAGCTTTGTACCTGTCCTATTGATCGGCTTTTGATTTTTTTTTCCCTTCACAATCAGATTTCTAGTGTCTCCTTTCTCACTTGAAAATCTTCCTGTATGAAAATTGTATGGTAAATGGGCCATGATCGAGCCTTTCTAGTTAAGCAATATCCGAGCAATTCATAAGCCCTATGGGAATGAGTGACCAGGGGAATCTTTTAGAGAAGGATGAGCCAGTCAAGATTCAGACCTTCTCTCTGCTAATTGACATTGTGTTGCTTTGGGCAGATCAACCTACATAGAAAAGCTTGGCTGACTTTTATAAAACATTCATCATAGAAAATTTAATCTAATATGCAGGTGCATAATGTTAAAAATCTGGAATAAATGTTTCTTCTTAGTTAAATAGATGTCCTTCTTAGTTAGAAAGAGTATTTGTGTGTGAGAATGTGAGTGTGTGTGTGTGTGTGTTGGGGATGGAACCCAGGGCCTCATGCTTTAAGAATATACTCTGTCATTGAGCTATCCTCTCAACTCCAAGAGAAAAAATTTAAAAAAATTTTTTTAAAAAGATTGACAATCTGAGAATATGCATCTAGGCTATTAAACTAAATATATTTTAACCATGTTATTATTTAGAGTTTTTTAGATCAAAAAAAGTAGTGCTATGTAGTTTTGTTTTCTATTATGAGGGTGTGTAACCCCATAATGGATGCAAATGAGAGCCAGTAATTAAGTATTTGTTGGTGGGCTGGTAAAGCTGAATAAGACCCTGTGTGTGCCATGCCCCATCTATAAGGTTGCTGCCAATAACACAGAGCACAGCCTGGAACTGGGATCGTTAAGTTAAAGGGCCCTTAGCTTAACCCCAGCAGATGAGAAAACTCTGCCAGGGCTTGGCTACCCTTCCCATCTTTGAGTCAATGTGACTTCTTACTTTCCTGGTTGATCAAAATATTATTTTTCTAAGTGTATATAATGTTCTTTTCATTGACTTTTTTATTTAGTATCTAACCAACATTTTTAATGCTAAAATTATATTTAAAGAATGCCTTCAACTTCTTTAATTGCACCAAAACAAGACCTTCCCCTGGTATTTGCTGAGGTCCATACCTCCACTAACACATTTGGGAACCATGGATGATGATATTTCAAATTACATAAAAGTGTCACTACATCAGCTTGGACCTTGTTATTCCTTCTGCCCCACAAAAGACTGAAAAATAGATTATCATTCCCAAGACACACTTCTGTTATGCTGAAGGCAATCTTCAAAATGCTGGAAGCTACATATTTTTCTTTTAGACAGGGTTTGCTAAGTTCCTAAATTGCCCAGGATTGGCCTGAACTTGCAGCCCATTCTGCCTCAGTGTCCCAGAGGGTTGGAATTACAAGCTAGCTTGGAAACCAATCTTATTAAACATTTTTTTTTATCTTGAAACATAAACAGAAAGGGGTGGAGAATAGGAATGAAACAGCTAAAAAAAATCTTTCCGATTAAAGATTCTGGATCACATCACTACAACTGTATGTACATGAAATTGGCAAGCAGCCCACCCACACTGACACCCTTGCCACTCCTCCCCCACCATGCCCACACCTACACCCACAGAAGTAAGAACTGAAGTTCTAGCATCTCACTCAAATAGAAACCAATAAATAAAAATTAGCATAACCTTAAAATAATCTCAAGCAAAACCTCTAACAAAAAATTGAGATGAACAAAATTAAGGAATCAGGAGAGAAAAGATACTGCAAAGAGTCAGAAAAAAGCTTCAAATTAACTGGAATAGATATTCTTAAAGGTGGCAAATGAAAACAATGTATTCAAAGGATAAAGACAAGGTCTCCAGAATTAGGAGAGAGAAGACTTCCCAGTGTGAGAGTGGCCAATACCCAAGGTTCTACCTGTGATCAAGCCCAGAGACCAGCAGAGTAGTCAGGCAAAAAAAAACAGAAGCTCTTGAAGGAATATCTCCAAGAAAGAAAAGAAAAAAAGGTGGCACGGTTTATTTAACCCTGTTGGAAGAAACTTTCAGATTTGTTCAAAGGGTTTTGTAATAAAAGACCCACTGGCATTGGCAGACCCTAAGCATTTCTATTTTCCATTAATGTGTAACAAACCCCAGCACTGATGGCTTTATGATAACAATTCTTTGTTGTAACAGGCTCTGTGAGGTGACAGCAAGCTGCTGTGATTTCCTGAGGACCTTTCCTATAGGTAGTCAAATGCACGCAAAATTTGAAACCATCCAAAAGTTGGTGGCTGGACGTACAGGATACTTTTTACTCACAAATCTGTACCTGGGGCAGGGGTGGGGAGGGAATCTTGTCACAGCCAGAGAATGACTAGGCATCACCATGCTGACTGGGGCTTCCTCACTGCATGGCCACCAGTGCCTCGGAGTCTTTCTATCTACACAACCTCTAGAGTCTAGATATTGGCCAGTGTCCACACCCACTGCTGCCTTCTCTGGGTGGCCATAATTCAGCCATAGCATCAGTCTCCCTTGGTGCAAGACATCTAGGCTGAAGCTATAAAGCTTTTTATGATCTAGCCTCAAAATCCCAGGATGTTACTTCTGCTCCATTCTTTGGTCAAAGCCTACCCCTGCTTCAAGAGGAGAGAACTACAAAGGCAAGAAAACTAACAAGCATAGTATATTGGGGGTCATATTTCTCATCAAGCTCTAACATTAATCAAATAAGTGGTACAATTGCCCGAGGGGAAGGTGACATTGAATGCAACATGATATGTAAACAAAGTTCTGCAGATGAGAGCAATATTTACATGTAATTACACAAACATTAAATATTGATTTAGCTTTTAAAGACAGTGTCAACAGTGCTGAGAGAATGGGGTCAGGGTTGTGGCGTGGGGGGGAGAAGTTGGTAAGTGTTCAGGGCCAGAAGGCGGTGGGGCTAGAGAGACAACTAGGGCCCAACACTGAAGGGATCTGGTTTTAGCTTCTGGTCGCTGTGACAAATCCCATAGGAATCACCTCATATGGAGAAAAAATGTATTTGGCTAATAGTTATGAAGGTTTCAGTCCACGATGGTTTAGCCCATTACTTTTGGGCCTGTGGTGAGGTGGCACAGCAGAGGACAACCATGCATTGGAGACCTGCCCACCACATGGCAGCCTGGAAGCAGAGAGAGAGAGAGAGAGAGAGAGAGAGAGAGAGAGCAAAAGGCCAAGGTCTCAAAATCTTCCAGGTCATACCCATGACCTAACTCTCTTCTATTGGGCTCCTTTATGAAAGGTTCCGAGACTCTCACATGGAACTTGAGGGATACTTTAGATCCAACTGAGAACAGCCTCCCTCAGTTTTGCACTCTTGACATCGTATCTCAGGCCAGCCCTTACCTAAGCAGCAAGGGAGGATTATTTTTTTGATTTTCACATTTCATGTAAAAAATCTGTAGCTAATGATCAAATTAAAAATTAAGGACCATAAGTGTGGAGTTCCACTTTGAGAAAATGAAAATCTCTGAAGATATAGTTAAATGTACATTTAAAGTTGTTTTAAAACTTGCTGATAAAGACACAATGAGGATAAAAAAATAGCTAATAGCTCTTTTATGTAGAAGTTAAAAAAAGATAGGCAGTTAAAATTGTTGAAATTGAATTTCTTTTGAAAGAGGGAATGAGAGGTACACAGGTGACTACTGTTTCTTGTTGTAAAATTTCAATAGTAGCGGGAAAATTCAGGTTTATACACTTTATGTCGATGAAAACAAAATGTCCTGGATTGTGTAGAAAAAACTAATAGGAAATACACGTTGTAATTGAAAAATGATGGGGAGTGTTTAAATTTTCTTAAAAAAATTACAATACAGTGAAATCATTATTAATCCCCCTCAAATTATTTCCCTTTCCTTTAAATGCACTTATTCTATTATTCTTTGCCGCTTCTGCTTAAGAAAGTGGTACAGACAGTGGAATAAATGTGTTCAAAGTGAGTAGGTTTGGTGGAACATGCTGCTAACCCTAGCACTCTGAAAGGCTGAGGCAGGAGGATTGCCAATTCTAGCCCAGATTGAGAAATTTAGCAATCTAGTGAGACCCTGTTTTCAAACTAAAAGATAAAAACAAAGGAAGGGGAAATATTTTGAGGAGGATTAATAGCAATGCATTTTTTACTGTAATATTTTCTCAATTCCATATATTTTATCATACCTTTATTTGGTTTATTTTCTCCATAAATATGATTTAGTTCAGATAAACTTTACTTGGAGAGCCTAACTCAGAACAGTGACCTTCACTAAAGAAGAGACATTTTGGTAGGTGAATGAGATTGCACAGAAGCAAGCAGCTGTGAGGATATAAACAAGTCAAAAGGGCCACAGGCAACATTCCAAAAGAGAATAAATCCTTCGTGGTAAAATTCCCAAGGATTTCAATTAAACCTGTTCCTTAAAAATGATAGCAACTGTGACTATATGCACTGTGAGAATATAACTCTTTATACACTTGTGAGAACTCATCCGTTTGCATGGTAAATCACATACCCTACATCAATCCCTAGCATATAGTAAACCTACCCAATAAAATTGAAGTTTGACCTGATATACTTGGATTTTAAACAATTGCTTACTTTGGTGAAGTATACCCAAAAGACACGTGGATCATTTTATTACTGACAATATATTTAAGTGTCACACTGGGAAAAAATCTAGTTCTTTCTGGAGTTTCTTCCCTTCATAAAAGTATGTTATCTTGGAAGAGGATCACCAATCAAAAGTTACACTTTATTAACAATTAAGTGAAACCTGAACCTTTCTCCACTCACTTCACATAATCACAAAACTATGTTTCTGTTGGAAGCAATTCGACATGATTTGGGGGGAAAAAATCATTTCACAATTAAATCATGATTAGGGCCTACTTTTCCTGCTTGCAGGCCAGCGATGGCATGTGGAAATGTAACTCTTCTCTTCACTTCTGGTCATAGCTAAGACCTCAGTGGTCCAGTGATGCTGTGATGCTCCAGGGTAAGATTACACCAGCTGAAGACATGCTGGGAGGAACAAAATCTTCATCTGTACAGTTCCTCATCGTTCTAGGATTTTCACCACTGCTGCCCTTTGAGTGACCTTTTACATTTGTTACTCTCCTGATGGACTGAACTCCCTGCCCTGAGTCCTTCCCTACATCAATCCCTAGCATATAGTAAACCTACCCAATAAAATTGAAGTTTGACCTGATATACTTGGATTTTAAACAATTGCTTACTTTGGTGAAGTATACCCAAAAGACACGTGGATCATTTTATTACTGACAATATATTTAAGTGTCACACTGGGAAAAAATCTAGTTCTTTCTGGAGTTTCTTCCCTTCATAAAAGTATGTTATCTTGGAAGAGGATCACCAATCAAAAGTTACACTTTATTAACAATTAAGTGAAACCTGAACCTTTCTCCACTCACTTCACATAATCACAAAACTATGTTTCTGTTGGAAGCAATTCGACATGATTTGGGGGGAAAAAATCATTTCACAATTAAATCATGATTAGGGCCTACTTTTCCTGCTTGCAGGCCAGCGATGGCATGTGGAAATGTAACTCTTCTCTTCACTTCTGGTCATAGCTAAGACCTCAGTGGTCCAGTGATGCTGTGATGCTCCAGGGTAAGATTACACCAGCTGAAGACATGCTGGGAGGAACAAAATCTTCATCTGTACAGTTCCTCATCGTTCTAGGATTTTCACCACTGCTGCCCTTTGAGTGACCTTTTACATTTGTTACTCTCCTGATGGACTGAACTCCCTCTGCCCTGAGTCCTCTGGTACATTTGTTCCTCCTGATGTACTGAATAAAGGTGTGACAAGCTTGGGGGTTTTCATCTTTGCTTCCCAGAGCAATATTGATCAGGCCCAAAGCTCAGGTTCTTCTCTAAGTCTCACTTTTTCTGTCTTTTCTGTTTATATATTAATTAACTCGCCTTGTGCTGTCATGGCTCACAGGAGACTAGGACTTACTGTGGAGGTTCTAGTAATGCCCCCTTTCCCCAGCTGTGTCAACTTGAAATCTGGTAGGCTTAAAGAAGAGGTAGCAACCCAACCATGCAAATTCTATAACAGTCAATCTCCATTTCTTCCTATTATCAGAAGAACACACAGGCAGATACACAAAGATGTTAAAGGAAGTTACATTTGCCTGTCTTGAGTATGTGCATAATCTGTGCACAAATCTGTGAGAATCTTCCATTTAAAGAGCAATGTGCTCTGAGTAATAAAGTGAAATGATACCCCTTATTCTCAAATCCACTAAATCTCCATATTCTATCCCAAGGATGGAACAAGAACCTTACTTTGTCTCCCCAGTAATAATGGTAAAAAATCAGGTCCAAATATTTGCGGGAGCTTGAAAGTAAATAGTATCAGCTTACATGTGTTGGGATATTCACTCTCAAAACAATGGAAAATAAAATTGATGAGGGCATGGAGAAATTGGAACCCTTGTGCACTAATGTTAAAAATGTAAAATGGCCCAACCACCATGGAAAGCAATATGCGATTTCAGTTTTAAATATTCACTAACTGCAAATGATCCTGATTTTCTTCAATGGGTGAATGATCAAATCAACTGTACAGTGGTCTGGATACTGAGCATTCCCTAAAGGCCATAGGTTACAGCTTTGGTCTCCAGGATGGCACTGATGGGAAGCACTGTGGAGCTTCAGGAGGTGAAGCCTGTGGGAGATCCTCAGATCTCTGGGGTTATGTTTCCATAGGGGTTGGATGTCCTCTTCTGCTTTATGGCTTGTGATGTAAATAGTTTCCTCCACCGCACACTTCTGCTATGGTGTGCTGCTCTCAGTCTTGGACTGGCACCTCCAGAACTGTGAGCCAAAAGTAACCTTTCTCATTATGAGTTAACTGCCTCAAGTGCTTCATTATAGCAATGTGAGGCTCATACACCATAGAGCATCCATACCATGGAATACTCTTCAAAAAGAAAATGGAGATTTCTGATGCATCATCATTTGGATGAGTCTCTAGAGAATTATGCTGAGTAGGAAAATGCCAATTCTATACATATAGCATTCTTGAAATGACAGAATTATAGAAATGGAGAACAGATTAGTGATCATCTGGGATTACAGGTTAGGAGGAGAGTCATGGTTGAGGATATAAAAAGACAACACCAGGGACCTTTGTGCTATTGAGGTGCTCTCTGTCTTGACTCTAGTGGTACATACATGAACCACTCTATAAAGACAATAAACTCATAGACCCCACCTACAATATCTGCATGCATCAAAAATGTATGCATTTTTTATCTTATCATATGCTGTAGAACTAAAGAATTCTGGATTTCTGAAGATGGAGCCAAATATCAGTAATTAGCCTGACAGATAAGATAGATAAATGATAGACAGATATATAGATATGTCATAGTAAGCTAGTGACTGCAGGCAGCAAAGAGGATGAAAAAGATTACCCAGAGATGAGACTTAGTTCAGTCACCAAGAGGTGACTTGTGTGCTTTTGCCCCACATTTTAGTTGTTCATGCCTCGTAGAGGCTATGTGCTTTTGTCTTGTGGCTTAATCATTCAGCTTAATTATCCACCCCTGGCTAGGTCTCCTGCATACATAGATAATAGAAATAGATAGACAACAGATGGATGGATGGATGGAGAGAGAGACAGAAACAGATAGATAGATTTATTAAATGAGTGCATTGTTTCAAAGTCTAAGAAGGATAAGAAAGAATTTATGTGCTGAAAATGCTTTTTAGAGTCCCTAGCAGTGAATTGAAAATTGATTCCTGTATGGATAAAGCTTAATTTTTTCCTCAAGTTTTAAAAGTCAACTAAAAAACTATTTGTTATATTAATAAAGCTTATACTGTTTAAAATAACAATAATTTGCTTCCCGATTAATTTATATTCACATGTAAGAATTAATTCCTCCCTAAACAAGTAATCTTGATTACAAAATTTTTAAACTACACTTTCTTAAAATGATAAAAATATATAGAAAAGGAAGTTAACCCAACAATGATAGATCAGCTTGTTTCACACTAAACTCTCACTAAAAAGAGCTATAGAGGAGAATTTATAGGGTAACTTCTTATAGTATTGACACTAAGTGTTGGCAAGGATCAGAGCTCCTGAATCTCATTCTGTAGGGGAGGAGGAACTGCTACCACCACCAAGGAAAATTGTTTGCAGTATTTAAACCTTACTGCCCAAAATTCTTTTAGAATTTTTATATCTTCTTTGTTCAACTTTGGTAATTCACATGTATTTAGGAATCTGTCCATTTCTTCTGTGTTCTCCATTTTATGAGAGAAATATGGAACACTTCACAAATTTCCTGTCATCCTTGAGCAGGGGCCGTGCTAGTCTTTTCTATATCATTCCAATTTTAGTTCATGAGATGCTGAAGCAAGCACCCAGCCTAGAATTCTTTCTACCAGCAAATACGCTACAGAAATGTTTGCACCTATGTCAGAAGGCACATACGGGAAAGTTCATGGTAGCATCATAGAGAATGCTCATCTGGTTGTAGAACCACAATGGGAGAGATGGATATCTTGGTTTCCTGCCTTGAAAATGGCCCATCCTCATTCAAGCTCACCTTACACAGGCCTTTCCTGGACCCCCAACCTCCTGGAATCTGGAGGCAGCAGGTTGGCAGCAACCTTTATGTTGAAATTTAATGCCTCCTGTCCAAGTGCTGGGAGCATATTCCACAGAAGGAAAGCATTCCCTTTCTCCCCTTCCCAAAGTATGGGGAGAAAGACAAATCGTCTTCCTTTTGGAATATTATACTCCTCTCATTGTGAGCCACACCTCCCTCAATCACTGATGAAATCAGGATTGAGAAAATCAGTAAGGAGCAATTTGAACTACATTCTCACTCTGAGTGCTGCCTGTGGACCTGCGTGGTAATAACTGCAGACTTGTTGAAAGCTTGGACGCATAGCTCCCTCTCAGACATCCTGAGTTGGACACTTAGGTGTTGGGTGCAGCAACCAGTTTCAAGAGATTCTTGGGTCATTCTGCTGGTACTGATGTGCTAAAAACTGCTTCTTAGAGTACTTGGGACTTCTCCATGGTATAAGGGCTCTGTGAAAGTGTGCCAGGAAGTAGAGAAAAACAAGGCCTGTGTCACGTGGCTCAATGTTGGTTCAAACAGATATAATTGATCACTAAGCAACTTCATTTCTTCTCATTTACTGCTTAACTAAAAGATAAAGGGCAATAAATCTACTCTTACTTTTGAAAAATTATAAAATTAAAGCCAAAGAATGAAATTTAAAAAGAGCCTGACTTTCTTGGAAGAAAAATGGAAAGTAAGAAAGAACAGCCTTCAATTAATCGCAACTCAATTCAAATTTAACAAATATTTGTAGAAGCATCACTACAAGCCACAGTGTGTTAGAAATCATTGAATGAATGAATATTATTTGACACCATTGCTTCCCAGAACCTAAAATATTGTCAAAATAAGTGTGTGTTTGTGAAAGGCGCCCCCAGTGACCTCCAAGAGAGGACATTAGTGAGAACTAGAAACCGAAATCTGCGATGTAGTAGTCTGAAGAGTGTTGGAAACGAGGACACAGAGATAACAAACGGGAAAATAATAATCTCACAATGTGTTGGGTAAATTAGTGTACAGCATCAGCAGGAAGACATGAAGAGAAGAACAAGATTAAACATGAAAACTATTAAGAAATCTATTTTGTCCATATAAGTAAAAAGAGGCAAAAGCTTGAAAAGAAAGTGGAAAATATGCAATAAATAGAAAATTAATTTAACAACATGAGAACTAATTACGTTCATGGTCAAAAGCATTTCATTGAAAAGATCTTTTGCTTAAGTTCATTTTAATATAATTTTGTTCATACTGCTAGTCTATGTTATGGAGTTATATTCAGTGTACCTCATTTCGTGCTAGAGGTGCAACTGATCATTTTATACACCAAGATAAAACTACATACAAGGTTTACCATGGCTTAATGATCACAGAAGCTTTTGTTTCCAGAGTTTTATGAAATGTGATCATGAAAACAAATGACTGATTCTTCTCTCACTTAAATATCATAGCAATGAATGCTCTTGAATATATTCCTAGAACATCCATCATGCAATCATAATCTACTTATGCAGACTCACTGATCGAGAACAGTAAATGACCTGTAATCTCGAAAACTTCAGCGGAGGTATAATAAAAGATTTGAAACACATCAAAATTTTAAGGCTTTGAATGAGATACCATGACATTTTGAAAATGTATACATACATAATGTATAATGATTGAATGATATCCGCCAAAAAATACATGGTATCCTAATCCCTGAAAACCATCAATATAATCTTATTTTAAAATGCAATTCAGGGAAGGATCTCAAGATAAAATCATCCCAGATTACATGAGTGATTCCTAAATCCCACATCCTTAAAAACCAAAGAGAAGACTGAGAAAAGGCAGGGACTACGTGAGAATGGAGTAGAAACTGGATTTAGATGCCAGAAATCGAGGAACGCTCGGAGCCCCCAGAACCTGAGAGAAATGGAGGATTTCCCCATAAGGCCTTTCGGGGGAGTGCAGCCCTGAAAAGCCTTCACTTCTGACCCCCAGAAGTGAGGAAGAGTAAGTCTTCCTTGCTTTACTCAATAAATCTGTGATATTTCTTATATCATCTACAGAAAATAAATACATATAATTATTTTTCAAATTAATCTGGCATACAAAGTATATAAACTCTCTGGTGACATCCATTCAAGTGCGATTGACTCAGCCTCATCTGCACTAAAATTTGCACTGTGCCTTTTTTCTCTTTACCTGAAATTCTCTGTTGAGGCAAACAGATAAGGACGATGCTGCGGGGAAGATTGCAGGAGAACTTTAAGCAAGAGGAGAGCATGAGATTGAACCGTATAACTTCAGCTAATGCTCTCCAGAAAGCAAAGGAAATTGTATTTTTTCCTCTGTGGGTCTGTGTTTACTATTTGTTCCTTAAAAACACGGACATCACACTCACTAGATTATTCCTTCCCTAAGGAAAAACATTTTGTCATTAAATATAGATGTGGGGTATTTACTAATAGTTACCAGTAGCCTTTGAAAGAGTATCTCTGCCCTTTACAGTTTCCTGGATTTCTTTTTTTAAAACAAAGTTCTGATGTACTTAAAAGGAAAATGCTTATGGTGAACAACAAAAAAACAGAGGGTGAAAGAACCAGTAAAAAATTCTGAGAACATCACCATCCTGTGGAACCAGTACACAAGTCATGATGACACAAATGAAGGAAAACCCGAGCCTGGCCCAGCCTGTGGGCAGAAGGGTCCCCACACCTGTGGCGCGGGCAGCTCGTCTTGGGGAAGGAGAACATCCAGAGATACAGCATGGCACCACTGACAGATCATGTTGTGCACACTCCTTTCCCTTGGCGCTGTAGTCAAGTGTGTCACAGTGTAGTCGCAGTGTGCCCACACAAGCACTTCACACTGGGGCCGGTCATGTCAGGGAGAGGGCAGGGCCTCCCAGGTGCCTTTGGTGTAAGATTTGTCACCATGGCAGCCTCATCCATTTGGATCAGTGGCAAAGTTTCCAAGAAATTTAATTTCAAAAAACCAAAACAGGGCTGGGGATTTAGCTCAGTGGTGCTGCCACCTGCCTTGCAAGCAGCACACCAGAGTTCGATCCCTGGTACCAAAAAAACAAAAAACAAAACAAAAACAAACAAATAAACAAAAATCAAAATAATACAATGCACAGCACTCCTGTACTGGATTTACCAGGACTGAGATGCCTGCGTTTGTTTCACCAGATCCTGACATGCCTTTACGAAGGGAAACTGTAGCATCTTCCGCAATTTCTATTTGGCATGAATCTAATCCTCTAGGACATGGTAGGAGGGTGCAGTGCCCCATAGAAGAGAGAAGACTGGAGGGGAGGCCACAGAACCGGACTAGAAGGGAGGACTGAATTCCTGGCTGTTCTGAGATCCTCATCAGGAAAGGACTGGAATTCCTCAGGACACTGGCAGACATAAGTGCAGCACACACAAGGGCTCAACTTTTGACATTTGCAGGAACACCTAAGAATCACGCCCTAGTGGTTACCTTTTGCCATTCTGAGCATCCATATTTTTCATGCCCAACAATTTCCTTACAGAAAATGCGCATAAAAATTGAATGTTGCTTAGAGGGAAATCATGGCAAGTGTGTGGGAAACTTCACCTACCACGGGTTCATAATGCTAGGTGAGATATATCAGACACCGAAGGTTAAGTATCTCATAGCATCTCTCATATGAGAAGCCCAAAGTAAAAATAATTTGAGAGAAAACTAGAAGTTAAATGAGAGAAAACAGAAAGATAGTCTGCATGGAGTTGGAAAGGGGGTCTTAGGATGAGGGGAACAGGAAGGAGGAGACTGGCAGGGGAAATAAAAAAGGATCAAGGTGTGACAAGTCTATACATCAATGCAAAATGAATGTATTTATTATGTATTGTAAACATATTAATACAAAAATAAGAAACAGCAATAGCATCATTTTCTTCAAGTATTTTAATTCTCAGAGCGCCATCTGCTGACCATTTTTCTTCTTGCTTTTTTAAAAATCACATTGATTCATAATCAAGAAAAATCATTTTGTATGCACATCAACCTCCATCTGGGAGCATGTCCAACCTGCTTTACCATTACACTGCTGGTAGTAAACCCACAAGAATAATACTGCTGTGGCATGGAAGGGGACACCAGTGTGGCAGGGAGACCATGTGGGGAACCTGCTCAGATAGAGTGTCCAGTCTGAGCCATTCTGAAACAACCACAGACTAGATCTAGAATCTTAAAAATGTTTTTTGTTCAATTCTGGTATTGAACCCAGGGACTTCACATAGAGCTACATCCCCAGACACACACACACACACACACATTTAAAAATGAGATAAGATCTTGCTACATCACTGAATGGCTCAAACTGGGCTCAAAATCACATTCCTGCCTCTACTACCCAAAGTACTGGGATAACACTTATGTGCCACCATACGTGGCTAAAAATGTCCATTCCTTTTGGCCATGAATGAAATTCTATGAATACATCTTTCAAAGGACCACAAATGAGGGCAAATATTTATGTGCCTGCCCACTTATTTTGGCTGATTTATAACAGGTTTGGCTATACTTATAGGTGGAGATAAAGATTCATAAACAAGCCAGGCATGGTGGTGCACACCTGTAATCCCAGCACTCGGGCGGCTGAGGCAGGAGGATCGCTGTGAGTTCGAGACCAGCCTGGGCTACATAGTGAGCTCCAGGTCAGTGTCACTACATAGTGAGACCCTGTCTCAAAAAAAAGATCATGAACAATATATAATTGTTACAATTTTAAAGTTTACAAATGGAGAGAATTATAAAGAATATGAGAAAATGAAAAAT